GCGCCCCTAGAGATAGGCGCCCCTAGAGATAGGCGCTCATAGGGATAGGCGCCCACAGAATAGGCGCCCCTAGAGATAGGCGTCCCAAGAGATTGGCGCCCCTAGAGATAGGCTCCCCTATAGATAGGCGCCCCTAGAGATAGGCGTCCCTAGAGAAAGGCGGCCCTAGAGATAGGCGCTCATAGAGATAGGCGCTCATAGAGATAGGCGCCCCTAGAGATAGGCGTCCCTAGAGATAGGCGCCCCTAGAGAAAGGCGCCCCTAGAGATAGGCGCTCATAGAGATAGGCGCTCATAGAGATAGGCGCCCCTAGAGATAGGCGCCCCTAGAGATAGGCGCTCATAGAGATAGGCGCTCATAGAGAAAGGCGCCCATAGAGATAGGCGCCCCTAGAGATAGGCGCCTATCTCTTGGGCGTGGACATGGTGCGGTGAGCGTGGAGGACCGCGGTTCGATTCCTGCAGTTGGCGACTTCCTGTGCCCTAGTGGAGGGCCCTCCCATTGAGGGGAGTGTTGGAAGTGGACATTGGAATGGCCCAAAGTGGTCTCCCTTAGGGCTACAGATGTCGTCCTGGGGGCGTATGGGTGCGCTGACCCACTATGGAAACATGCCCTTTTAGCCCTGTTGGTTAGCGAACTGGACAATAGGCGCCCATACACATAGGCGCCCGTAGAGATAGGCGCCCATAGAGATAGGCACCCCTAGAGATAGGCGTCCCTATAGATAGGCGCCCCTAGAGATAGGCACCCCTAGAGATAGGCGCCCATAAAGATAGGCGCCCATAGAGATAGGCGCCCATAGATATAGGCGCCCCTAGAGATAGGCGCCCCTAGATAGGCGCCCATAGAGATAGGCGCCCATAGAAATAGGCGCCCATAGATATAGGCACCCATAGAGATAGGCGCCCATAGAGACAGGCGCCCATAGATATAGGCGCCCATAGAGATAGGCGCCCCTAGTGATAGGCGCCAATAGAGATAGGCGCCCCTAGAGATAGGCGCCCCTAGAGATAGGCGCCCCTAGAGATAGGCGTTTCTAAAGAGAGGCGCCCCTAGAGATAGGCGCTCATAGAGATAGGCGCTCATAGAGATAGGCGCCCATAGAGATAGGCGCCTCTAGAGATAGGCGCCCCTAGAGATAGGCAACCCTTGAGATAGGCGCCCCTAGATATAGGCGCCCCTAGAGATACGCGCCCCTAGAGAAAGGCGCCCCTAGAGATAGGCGCACCTAGAGATAGGCGCCCCTAAAGATAGGCGCCCCTAGAGATAGGCGCCCCTAGAGATAGGCGCCCCTAGAGATAAGCGACCTTAGAGATAGGTGCCCATAGAGATAGGAGCCCCTAAAAATAGGCGCCCCTAAAGATAGGCGCTTATAGAGATAGGCGCCCATAGAGATAGGCGCCCCTAGGGATAGGCGTCCAAAGAGATAGGCGCCCCTAGAGATAGGCGCCCATAGATATAGGCGCCCATAGAGATAGGCGCCCATAGAGACAGGCGCCCATAGAGGTAGGCGCACCTAGAGATAGGCGCCCCTAGTGATAGGCGCCCATAGAGATAGGCGCCCCTAGAGATAGGCGCCCCTAGAGATAGGCGCCCCGAAAGATACGCGCCCCTAGAGACAGGCGCCCATAGAGATAGGAGCCCCTAGAGAAAGGCGCCCCTAGAGATAGTCGCCCATAGATATAGGCGCCCATAGAGATAGGCGCCCATAGATACAGGCGCCCATAGAGATAGGCGCACCTAGAGATAGGCGCCCCTAGTGATAGGCGCCCATAGAGATAGGCGCCCCTAGAGATAGGCGCCCCTAGAGATAGGCGCCCCGAAAGATACGCGCCCCTAGAGACAGGCGCCCATAGAGATAGGAGCCCCTAGAGAAAGGCGCCCCTAGAGATAGGCGCCCCTAGAGATAGGCGCCCCTAGAGATAGGCGCCCCTAGAGATAGGCGCCCCTACAGATAGGCGCCCCTAGAGATAGGCTCCTCTAGAGATAGCCCCCCTAGAGATAGGCACTCCTAGAGATAAGCGCCCCTAGAGATAGGTGCTCATTGAGATAGGAGCCCCTAGAGATAGGCGCCCATAGAGATAGGCGCCCCTAGAGATAGGCGCCCCTAGAGATAGGCGCCCATAGAGATAGGCGTCCATAGAGATAGGCGCCCCTAGAGATAGGCGCCCACAGGTGCCCCTAGAGATAGGCGCCTCTAGAGATAGGCACCCCTAGAGATAGGTGCTCATAGAGATAGGCGCCCATAGAGATAGGCGCCCCTAGAGATAGGCGTCCATAGAGATAGGCGCCGTTAGAGATAGGCGCCCCTATAGATAGGCGCCCCTAGAGATAGGCGTTTCTAGAGAGAGGCGCCCGTAGAGATAGGCGCTCATAGAGATAGGCGCTCATAGAGATAGGCGCCCATAGAAATAGGTGCCTCTAGAGATAGGCGCCCCTAGAGATAGGCAACCCTTGAAATAGGCGCCCCTAGATATAGGCGCCCCTAGAGATAGGCGCCCCTAGAGAAAAGCGCCCCTAGAGATAGGCGCACCTAGAGATAGGCGCCCCTAAAGATAGGCGCCCCTAGAGATAGGCGCCCCTAGAGATAGGCGCCCCTAGAGATAAGCGACCTTAGAGATAGGTGCCCATAGAGATAGGAGCCCCTAAAAATAGGCACCCCTAAAGATAGGCGCTCATAGAGATAGGCGCCCATAGAGATAGGCGCCCCTAGAGATAGGCGTCCAAAGAGATAGGCGCCCCTAGAGATATGCGCCCCTATAGATAGGCGCCCCTAGAGATAGGCGTTTCTAGAGAGAGGCGCCCCTAGAGATAGGCGCTCATAGAGATAGGCGCTCATAGAGATAGGCGCCCATAGAGATATGCGCCCCTAGAGATAGGCACCCCTAGAGATAGGCGCCCCTAGATATAGGCGCCTCTAGAGATAGGCGCCCCTAGAGAAAGGCGCCCCTAGAGATAGGCGCACCTAGAGATAGGCGCCCCTAAAGATAGGCGCCCCTAGAGATAGGCGCCCCTAGAGATAGGCGCCCCTAGAGATAGGCGCCCATAGAGATAAGCGCCCATAGAGATAGGCGCCCCTAGAGATAGGCGCCTTTAGAGATAGGCGGCCCTAGGGATAGGCGCCCCTAGAGATAGGTGCCCCTAGAGATAGGCGCCCCTAGACTTAGGCGCCCCTAGAGATATGCGCCCATTGAGATAGGCGCCCATTGAGATAGGCGCCCATTGAGATAGGCGCCCCCTGAGATAGGCGCCCATAGAGATACGCGCCCATTGAGATAGGCGCCCCCAGAGATAGGCGCCCATTGAGATAGGCGCCCCTATAGATAGACGCCCCTATAGATAGGCGCCCCTAGAGATAGGCGCCCATTGAGATAGGCGCCCCCAGAGATAGGCGCCCATAGAGATAGGCGCCCCTAGAGATAGACGCCCCTATAGATAGGCGCCCCTAGAGATAGGCGCCCCTAGAGATAGGCGCCCCTAGAGATAAGCGACCTTAGAGATAGGTGCCCATAGAGATAGGAGCCCCTAAAAATAGGCGCCCCTAAAGATAGGCGCCCTTAGAGATAGGCGCCCCTAGAAATAGGCGCCCCTAGAGATAGGCGCCCCTAGAGATAGGCGCTCATAGAGATAGGCGCCCACAGAATAGGCGCCCCTAGAGATAGGCGTCCCAAGAGATAGGCGCCCCTAGAGATAGGCTCCCCTATAGATAGGCGCCCCTAGAGATAGGCGTCCCTAGAGAAAGGCGCCCCTAAAATAGGCGCTCATAGAGATAGGCGTGTCAGATTTATATGACATAGTTGCTGTAGGCTATAGTGGGGTAGCACATATGGGGTACAGGGTTTCTAGGGTTGTATTTGTACCCAATCTTTCCTTAGTCATCTCATTCCTGTTTTACTTGTTTCACATGGTATAGAGCGGGTCCTACCTTAGGACCGTTTTTTAGGGCCCACCGAAGCGCGCCCCGAGGCGCGCCTTTTTTTTTAGCGACCCCTCGGGTCGCCTTTTCCCTCGCGGCCCCGCTGTCCCTCAGACGCGGCCCCGCCACCTCTCCTGATCGCGGCCCCGCCGCCTGTTTGACGCGGCCCCGCCGCCTCTCCTGACGCGGCCCCGCCGCCTCCCCTGACGCGGCTCCGCCACCTTCCCTGACGCGGCCCCGCCGCCTCCCCTGACGCGGCTCCGCCGCCTCCCCTGACGCGGCAGCGCCGCCTCCCCTGACGCGGCTCCGCCGCCTCCCCTGACGCGGCCCTGCCGCCTCCCCTGACTTGGCTCCGCCGCCTCCCCTGCCGGCCCGCCGCTGCACCTGCCGGCCCGCCGCTGCACCCAGCGGCCCGCCCGCCTCTGACGGCCTTGCCGCTGCACCTGCCGGCCCGCCGCCTCTGACGGCCTCGCGACTGCACCTGCCGGCCCGCCACTCCACCCTACGGCCCGCCGCCTGCACCTGCCGGCCCGCCACTGCACCTGCCGGCCCGCCACTGCACCTGCCGGCCCGCCGCTGCACCTGCCAGCCCGCCGCCTGCACCTGCCGGCCCGCCACTGCACCTGCCGGCCCGCCACTGCACCTGCCAGCCCGCCCCTGCACTTGCCGGCCCGCCGCTGCACCTGCCGGCCCGCCACTGCACCGGTCAACCCGCCGCTGCACCTGACGGCCCCGCCCCTGGATCTCCTGGCCGAGCCGCCCCAGCAGCCGAACCGCCCGTGAGCCGAGCCGCCCGACGACGAGCCTCCCGGGCCCCGAGCCGCCCTGCCGCCGAGCCGCCCGGAAGCCGAGCCGCCCTGCACCCGAGCCGCCCAGCCGCCGAGCCACCCGGGAGCCGAGCCGCCCGGGAGCCGAGCCGCCCTGCGCCCGAGCCGCCCAGCAGCCGAGCCGCCCTGCACCCGAGCCGCCAGGTCGCTGAGCCACCTTTCAGCATACCTACTCGACCTGCCCTGCCTGGTGAGCACAGTCCCACTGACACTGCGAGCTCTTTCCCTGCTGCTTGCACTGCGTCGCTGTCGTCGCCATGGCTACCCCTAGTGTCCTAGCTTTTGACGCTGAGGGTCGCGCCATTGATTTTGAGGTCTGTTTAGACGACCTGCAGCTGTTCTTACAGTGCGACAGGGCTGACGACCTTTCTCTCTTTGATCTCACCTCTGGCGCCTCTCCTGCTAGTGCTACTGATGCTGATCCCGCTGTCCGCTCTAAGTGGGCCACCCGCGATGATGCTGCACGTCTTGCTGTGCGTCGCCACCTCCCTACCTCTGAGCGTGCGCACTTTAGTCAGTACAAGAGTGCTCAGACCTTGTACGACGCTGTAGTTGCGCGCTACTCCTCCCCTGCCACTGCTGCACTGAGCCGTCTCATGCTTCCCTACCTCTTTCCTGACCTCTCTGCCTTTCCCACTGTTGCTGACCTCATTACGCACCTCCGCACTAGTGACACTCGCTACCGCGCCGCCCTTCCTGCTGAGTTCTGCGCTAAGAACCCCCCCCCCATGTACATCTCTCTCTACTACGTAGTCGCGCGCCTCCCTGACTCCCTTCGCGTCGTCGGGGACCACTTTCTCGCAGTCTGTCCCACCACCCTCACCGTCGACCTCCTCGAGAAGGCCCTCCTTGCAGCGGAGAAGAGCATAGTCGCTGTAGGTGCTTCTCGTGGTTACCCTCGCACCCCCATCTTTGAGGGGTGCTCTCCTTCCCCCTTGCTGCCCTCTGTTGCCTCTGCTGCTGCTGCCGACCTGCTTGGTCTTGAGTCGGTCGGCGTGGCGTCTGCCCCTAGTGGGAGACGTCGCTCCAGCAAGGGCAAGGGGGGCAAGGGCGCGGGTGGAGCTGGAGGGGGCGGTGGCGGTGGCGGCGGTGGCGGCGGAGGGAGTGGGGGTGGCGGCGGGACTAGTGGCGGGGGTGGTGGTGGTGGTGGCAGCAGTGGCGGAGACGGTGGTGGTGGTGCCAGCGGTGGTGGTGGTGGCAGCAGCGGAGGTGGAGGCGGCGGAGGTGGAGGCGGTGGAGGCGGCAGCGGAGGAGGCGGTGGTGGTGGAGGAGGTGGAGCTGGTCGGGGTGGTACCCAGCAGCGTAGCGGCGGTGGTGGTGGCCAGCGCTCGCAGCGGCAGCAGCAGCAGCGCTCGCGGGACATCCCTCTGCCTCAGCAGCTTCGTGAGTGGTACGCTGGGCGTCAGAGGGGTGGGGGTACTGGTCCCTGCACCTACGTGCTTCGTTCTGGCGACCGCGCGGGTGAGCAGTGTGGGGGTGCCCACGCCACCCAGCGCTGCTTTGGCCGCCTGACGGACGCTTGGCGTCAGCAGTTCCCTGGGGCTAGTGAGATCCCTCGCTGGGATGAGCTTCTTAGGGCTGGTGTAGCGATCTTTGATCTTGATTTTGATGCTATCCTTGCTGCTATGTATGCTGTGACTTATAGTGAGGAGAATGAGGGTTACCGGTGTTTCCAGCCCGACCCGGGCATTGGTACTGCTGCGCTAGGTGCTTGTAAGGCTGCTGCTCTAGGTGCCAGTGCGTCTGCGCTCTCAGGTACTGGTGAGACTGCGCTCTCAGGTACTGCGTCGTCCTCGTCCTCCCTCACTTTCACACTTGACTCCGGGGCTTCTCGCTCCTTCTTTCGAGACCGCACTACCCTTACGCCGCTCGGCCGGCCGGTTGCAGTCTCCCTTGCTGACCCCTCTGGGGGTCCTGTCCTGTCTCACTTCTCCACTGTCCTCCCGTGTCCGGCTGCCCCTTCGGGCACCCTGTCTGGTCTGTACCTTCCCTCGTTCTCTACGAACTTGGTGAGTGGAGCGGACCTGCAGGATGTGGGGGTTCACCAGTTCACTCCTGCGAGTCAGCGGGTGACCCACTGCACGGAGGCACGCACAGGCCGACACCTGGCCACGTTCTCGCGTCGGCCGGGGTCGAGTCTCTACACCCTGACCGTTGAGTCTCCTTCTCTCCCTGCGTCTGGTCAGGTGGCTGCGTCAGGTCAGGTGCTTGCTGCTGCGTCCCGGTCAGGTCCTGAGTCTGCCCCCTGTTCTTGTCGCCTCCTGTCTCACGAGACTCTCCTGTGGCATCACCGTCTTGGCCACCCCTCCTTGCCCCGTCTTCGGAGCATGGCTTCCCGTGTCCTTGTCTCTGGTCTTCCCCAGTCTCTCCCTCCTCTCCCCTCCGGGCCAGGACCTTCCTGTGTCCCCTGTGTCGAGGGTCGCCTCCGGGCTACTCCTCACTCCTCCCACTTCCCCCGGACAGAGGCTCCCCTGCAGACGCTTCACATGGATGTGTGGGGCCCAGCCCCCGTCCGTGGGCAGGGTTACGAGCGCTACTTCCTGTTGGTGGTTGACGACTACTCGCGTTACACCACAGTCCTCCCCTTGCGCAGCAAGGGTGCGGTCACTGAGGTGCTGATCGACTGGATCCTGGGGGTTTAGGGTTTAGGGTTTAGGGTGCTGTGCGCGGGGGTGCTGAGCCTGGGGGTACTACTGCTGGGGGTGCTGGGCCTGCGGGGGCTACTGCGGAGGGTGCGGAGCCTGGGGGTGCTGAGCCGGGGGGTGCTGTGCCTGGGGGTGCGGGGTCTGGGGGTGCTGGGTCGGGAGCTGCTGAGCCTGGAGGTGCTGAGCTGGGAGCTGCTGAGCCTGGGGGTGCTGCGTCTGGAGCTGCTGAGCCTGGGGTTTCTCCTGCTGCTGCGTCTCGCCGGGAGCCCCTCTCTCCACAGGAGCTGCGCGAGTGGTTCGCTCGCCGCTGGAGGCGTGCTGCTGAGTCTGGAGGTGCTGCTGGAGCTGGAGCTGGAGCTTCTTCGACCGTCGTGGGTGCGGGTGCTGCCGGTCCCGGAGCTGCTGGACCTACGGGTCCTCCTGGAGCTGGAGCTGCTGAGGGAGCTGGTGCTGAGCCTACTGCTGTTGGTCCTGCCACTGGAGGTGTGGGTGGCGCTGGTGCTGTCGCTGAGGGTGCTGGTGCAGACCCTGCTGCGTCTGGAGCTGCCGCGCGGCCTCGGCCGTACTTCGTTCCGCTCTTGCAGCAGGTTCTTGGTCTTTCTCCTCCGGTAGAGGGTCCACCGCCTGTCCAGTCGCAGTCCCTGCTGGAGCCTTCCTCTCCACTGCCTGCTCCCTCTCCTTACACTGGTCCTACTGGAGGTCTTGCTGAGCGTCGTGAGCCTGCGTCTCGTCCCGCGTCGCCTGTTCGTGCTGCTCGCGCTAGTGGTCGCAGTTCGCGTCAGCGTCCTCCTCCTGTCCCTGGCACGCACCGGATGTCTTTGCGTCCGTCCACTGCTCCTCTGCGTGCCCCTTTGCCTTCTCCTCCTGAGTCCTCTCTTCCTGCGCTTGCCGACCCTGAGTCGGACTCTCTTCGTGCTGCCAGTCCTACTGTCACGCGTCTGCTTGCTACTGTCGTCACTGACCCCTCTTTTGAGTCCACTGCTGCGTCTGCTCTAGTCGCTGAGCTCGTCGACTTTGCTGCTCGCTGTCGTCTCGACTACGCTGCTGGTCTTGTTGCTGAGTCTGCGTCTGTCTGTCCTCCGTCCGTCGGGGGTGAGTGTGCTCTTAGCACGGACGTCCTAGAGGACAGGCGGGAGGAGTTACAGTGTCTAGCGGCTGCTTCACCTCATCTCGCGTCTGTACTGCTTGCCCCTGAGGGAGACCCGGATGCACTAGACATCCCGACTCCGCGTTCTTACGCGGAGGCCGTAGAGGGTCCCTACTCCTCTCAGTGGCAGGCGGCTATGGATGCAGAGATGGCTTCCTGGAAGTCCACAGGCACCTACGTTGACGCGGTTCCCCCTCCTGGGGCGAACATCGTCAGTGGCATGTGGATCTTCAGGGTGAAGCGGCCGCCGGGCTCTCCACCTGTCTTCAAGGCACGGTACGTTGCTCGTGGCTTCAGTCAGCGGCAGGGAGTTGACTACTTTCAGACCTTCTCTCCCACCCCGAAGATGACTACTCTTCCGGTGCTGCTGCACATAGCCGCTCAGCGCGACTACGAGCTTCACTCTCTCGACTTCAGCACTGCGTTCTTGCAGGGTACCCTGCACGAGGAGATCTGGCTTCGCCGTCCGCCTGGCTTCACTGGGACTTTCCCTCCTGGCACCCAGTGGAGCCTCCGACGGCCTGTCTACGGTCTCCGCCAGGCACCGCGTGAGTGGCACGACACACTGAGGACTACGCTTGCGGCTCTTGGGTTTGCTCCTTCTACTGCTGACCCGTCGCTGTTTCTTTGCACCGACACTTCCCTGCCGCCGTTCTACATCCTGGTGTACGTCGACGACTTGGTCTTTGCCACAGCGGACACTGCTGGACTCGCCTACGTGAAGTTCGAGCTGCTGAAGAGACACACGTGCACAGACCTGGGTGAACTGCGCAGCTACCTTGGCTTGCAGATCACTCGGGACAGAGCACGCCGCACCATTACCTTGACTCAGTCACACATGGTGCAGCAGGTCCTTCAGCGCTTCGGCTTCACGTACTCCTCGCCTCAGGCCACTCCTCTGCCTAGTCGCCACTCAGTCTCAGCTCTGCCTTCGGATGAGTCCGTAGAGTCGAGTGGTCCGTATGCAGAGCTTGTTGGCTGCCTCATGTACCTGATGACCTGCACACGACCTGACCTTGCATACCCTCTGAGCATTCTTGCACGCTATGTTGCTCCTGGGAGACACAGACCGGAGCACATGGCTGCAGCGAAGAGGGTATTGCGCTACCTGTGCAGTACGTCGGGCATGGGGCTAGTGCTTGGAGGGCGGAGTCCAGTGGTCCTTACCGGCCACGCGGACGCTTCTTGGGCTGACGACCAGGCTACGCAGCGGTCGTCACAGGGTTACACCTTCAGCCTTGGTTCCGGCTCTGTCTCGTGGCGGTCTACTCGCTCGTCTTCGGTTCTCGGCTCCAGTTGTGAGGCTGAGATCTACGCCGGGGCCATGGCTGCACAGGAGCTTCGCTGGCTCACCTACCTGCTGACTGACCTTGGAGAGCCGCCTCGTTCTCCTCCAGTGCTATACGTAGACAACAAGGCTATGCTGGCCTTGTGTCGAGAGCAGCGCTTGGAGCACAGAACGAAGCACATTGCTCTCCGCTACTTCCTTGCTCGTGAGCTGCAGCAGCGTGGTCAGTTGCGACTTGCGTACGTGGCCTCTGAGGCCAACACCGCTGATGTGTTCACCAAGGCACTTGCGCCTTGTGACCATCAGCGCTTTTGCACCCAGTTGGGTCTTGTGCCTGTCTTGCCTCACTTGCTCTCCTCTTGACTTCACTTGTACTGTGACATATATATGTGCCTGCTCTTGTTTGTCTAGTTTTATATATATGTCTGTACTCCTGCATGTGAACTGGCCTCTGGCCCTACTCTTGTGCTCGGACTGTGTGGTGACTTTGTGATCCACCCTGAGCTTGCTTTGCTTTGCTTGACTGGTCTTGTGACCCCTTGTTCTCCCCCACTTTGCCTATGGGGGTGTGTCAGATTTATATGACATAGTTGCTGTAGGCTATAGTGGGGTAGCACATATGGGGTACAGGGTTTCTAGGGTTGTATTTGTACCCAATCTTTCCTTAGTCATCTCATTCCTGTTTTACTTGTTTCACAAGGCGCCCATAGAGATAGGCGCCCCTAGAGATAGGCGTCCCTAGAGATAGGCGCCCCTAGAGAAAGGCGCCCCTAGAGATAGGCGCTCATAGAGATAGGCGCTCATAGAGATAGGCGCCCCTAGAGATAGGCGTCCCTAGAGATAGGCGCTCATAGAGATAGGCGCTCATAGAGATAGGCGCCCATAGAGATAGGCGCCCCTAGAGATAGGCGCCTATCTCTTGGGCGTGGACATGGTGCGGTGAGCGTGGAGGACCGCGGTTCGATTCCTGCTGTTGGCTACTTTCTGTGCCCTAGTGGAGGGCCCTCCCGGTGAGGGGAGTGTTGGAAGTGGACATTGGAATGGCCCAAAGTGGTCTCCCTTAGGGCTACAGGTGTTGTCCTGGGGGCGTATGGGTGCGCTGACCCACTATGGAAACATGCCCTTTTAGCCCAGTTGGTTAGCGAACTGGACAATAGGCGCCCATACAGATAGGCGCCCCTAGAGATAGGCGCCCATAGAGATAGGCACCCCTAGAGATAGGCGTACCTATAGATAGGCGCCCCTAGAGATAGGCACCCCTAGAGATAGGCGCCCATAAAGATAGGCGCCCATAGAGATAGGCGCCCATAGATATAGGCGCCCCTAGAGATAGGCGCCCCTAGATAGGCGCCCTTAGAGAAAGGCGCCCCTAGAGATAGCCGCCCCTAGAGATAGGCGCCCGTAGAGATAGGCGCCCACAGAGATAGGCGCCCCTAGAGATAGGCGCCCCTAGAGATGGGCGCCCATAGAGATAGGCGCCTCTAGAGATGGGCGCGAGGCGCCCATAGAAATAGGCGCCCCTAGAGATAGGCGCCCCTATAGATAGGCACCCCTAGAGATAGGTGCCCCTAGAAGCGCCCATAGAGATAGGCACACATAGAGATAGGCGCCCATAGAGATAGGCGCCCATAGAGATAGGCGCCCATAGAGATAGGCGCCCCTAGAGATAGGCGCCCCTAGAGATAGGCGCCCCTAGAGATAGGCGTCCCTACGAATATCCCTAGATATAGGCGCCCCTAGAGATAGGCGCCCTTAGAGGTAAGGGACCATAGAGGTAACCGCCGCTAGAGATAAGCGCCCCTAGAGATAGGCGCCCCTAGAGATAGGTGCCCCTAGAGATAGGCGCCCATAGAGATAGGCGCCCATCGAGATGGGCGCCCATAGAGATAGGTGCCCCTAGAGATAGGCGCCCATAGAAATAGGTGCCCCTAGAGATAGGCGCCCATAGAGATAGGCGCCCATAGAGATAGGCGCCCATAGAGATAGGCGCCCAAAGAGATAGGGGCCCATAGAAACAGGCGACCCTAAAAGAGGCGCCCATAGAGATAGGCGCCCCTAGAGATAGGCGCCCCTAGAGATAGGCGTTCATAGAGATAGGCGCCCCTAGAGATAGGCGCCCCTATAGATAGGCACCCCTAGAGATAGGCGCCCCTAGAGATAGGCGCCAATAGAGATAGGCGCCCATAGAGATAGGCGCCCATAGAGATAGGCGCCCATAGAGATAGGCGCCCCTAAAGATAGGCACCCCTAGAGATAGGCGCCCCTAGAGATAGGCGCCCCTACGAATAGGCGCCCCTAGAGATAGGCGCCCATCGAGATAGGCGCCCATAGAGGTAAGCGACCATAGAGATAAGCGCCGCTAGAGATAGGCGCCCCTAGAGATAGGCGCCCCTAGAGATAGGCGCCCATAGAGATAGGCGCCCCTAGAGATAGGCGCCCCTAGAGATAAGCGCCCCTAGAGATAGGCGCCCCTAGAGATAGGCGCCCCTAGAGATAGGCGCTCCTAGAGATAGGCGCCCCTAGAGATAGGCGCCCCTAGAGATAGGCGCCCCTAGAGATAGG